ACCTTTACTTCCCCACCCTTTCTCAGTGACTCAGGTAGCATGCGACGACCATTGTGTGATAAAGCGATCCCAGGTGTTGTATGTAAAAAAAAAAACGGTAAAAAACAACAGTCTGCTCAAGTACCCTCGCATTCGGCTCCTAATGAGAACCGGGTGCCTTGCAGGTGAAAGAAGACGTACTATTGCATTTTTAACCTGTTTTTTGTCGTCACACTTGAGTCTACAAAATGGCAAATTACCTTGCATATTTTTAGGGAGCCGTAATGATTATCAGGTCGAGCTAACGACGCATACAGAGGGTGTAAATTGCTTGTTGAAGACATCTGAGCTTCACTTTCTGTAGAACGTCCTTAAAATGTCTCTCTGAGCTCATTTGAGGGGATTGAACTTTGGTTTAAGTTGGCAGAGTACAAAAGGAATATTTTAGATTATTTCTGATTTAGTACTAGTGATCTTCGTGAGTTGGGAACAGATGAGTCGCTCGCTTTTTATAGGGAGTTTTTACCCAATGAGGGTGCATGGGGTATAATCATAACAAGTGTGGCTTGTTTAATACGAAGCGATTATTAAATGGTAAGTGACAAATTTCTTGTTCTTTTCAGATTTGTTTGTTATGAGTGTCAGCTTGTTGATCATCTCCCATTCTTACACTAAAGGTGTAAGTTTTTGACTCTTAAGCATAACTCTAAGAAGTTTTCCCCTTAAGCATAAAAATACCATAATATGTTTGCATATATTTAGGAAACATGCTAAGTGAACATTTTTGTTTATCTGGAAAATAATGCTAAAGTCAGATATTCTGCTTTAAAAAGGTGAGTTACGTGCTGAAACTCTGTCTTTGCTTTGGTTCTTGTAACTCACCCACTGCCACTTTAGTTAATTATATTTCAGCACCCCGGTTTGCCTCGTGGAAAACAGTATATTTCATTCATTCAGTCAGCAAGGCTTTCAAAGTATGCATCCGTGAACAAAATGCGACCTCCTGTGGACCGAGGCAGACTCCAATATGGGATGCAGATTCAGAGTTCTACATGAGGTGGTTATTTATTAGCAAATAATTTCAATATTACGAACGTAAATATTAGGTAATATTAGCACGTTCTAATAACATGCTACGTGATGAGATTTGCAGTGATAACAAGTTTGGCTGGTTGCACCAGGAAACATGAAAGAAATTTAAATGCAGCCATTCAGAAGCAGAATAGTGCACTCACTGCACTTCAGCAAAATAGTTAGGTTTATAATCTAATTAATATATATCGAAACTCTCTAACAGTCACAGTTCTACAGTTCAATTTCAAGTGGTTTATGTCATTTTCATGATCTTGAGGTGAACTATCTGCAGCTGCTTTTAGTATATGAAAATACATGTCATGTAAAATGCCATTCAAACTCTCATTTTTAGCATTTAAAACTTAATAAAGCACATGAGGTGTACCTGAGGTGATCATTGTCCGTTTTCTGTTGTTCAGCTGCAAGAAATGGAAGCCGTTTCTAAAAAAGAAATTGCATGTGTTGGTTAGGACAAAAGCTCCTTTTAATATGGAAAATATTTTTATATTATTTAATAGGTTTGCTAAATGTGGCAGCTTAGTAAGAATAATTAAAATAAAGTAAGAATGATTAATAAATCCATATTAAATAGTTCTTTAAAAGTGATGCTGCGTCATTAGTTTTGTGCTCAGGCACACTTTGCATTCAAACTACTGCGCCAAAACCCTATCGAACTGCACTCTGGCACACCTCTTCCAAATGGGCCAGGGCTGGCCAACTGAACTGAACTGAACTGTACTTAGGTCTGATTCGGAGCACTCGCAGTTGTCAAATGAGCTGGTAAAGGGTTGTCAAATGCGCCTGGGCATGGTTTGGATAGCCTAGTGTGAGTACCCCCTAAAAGATAACAGAATACATTTTTTTTGGTGAACTATCCCTCTGAATCATTCAGTTATGGCAGATGTTGGATCATGGTTGTCATGAGCCTATGAAATGGTTTACTCCTCCTCATGTTCTATGACTTTCTTCTGCAGAACACAGAAGACTTTTCTTATAGCTTTTCTGTACAATGAGTCAGTGATGTTGTTTTTAAGCCCACAGTGATATTTACAGTGTGGACAAAGCAGTTGAAATGTTCCTTAAAATATCTTTTGCGTTCCAAAAAGTGAGTAAATGATGACTGCATAAATTTTTGGGTGAACCATCTGATTACTGGTCCATCTGCAGCCTGGTTCTGCTGGAGCACAGATGGAACATAGTCACCATTGCTGTGGGAGTGTTTCCTGTCACAGCACAGCCTCTCGGACACTTAAAACCTGCCTTGAGGTGATCTGCTCCTGGACCAGACAGTGACCCACCAGTTCATCGAATGTGATCTGCATCGTCCATCATGTCTGGTGAGAGGTCGGGTCTTCAGATATAGATCAATAATTAATTCTGGTGTTTTTGGAGCGATCGATGGCGCCTCGGGCGATGCCACAAGGTGGACGCTGTGTTTGCCTGTGCCTGATCAGCAGTTTGTTTTTAGATTGCTTAAAGGTGTCCTATTATGTCCTTTTTATCGAACACATTGTTATTTGAAATGTTCTCCAAGTGTTAGAGGTGTTCCCGTATGTCTAAAGTTTTAGTTCAATATGCATCGAACACTATTTTTAAACTATTGTAAATGCACATTTTGAGTTTCTCTTTCATGTAAAATAAACAAATGCCAAAAGTCCACACTCAAAGTTCACATGGGGTGGAAAAAGCACATATATCCCTACATTCGATTGGTGAAACACTACATTTCCATCAAAAAGTGCAAATTTGAATTGTACACATGGATCAAAAACAGTGCTTTATGCATTATATTTGTGTACAAGGTAAAAACACTGGCTATGTTTACATGGACATCAGTAATCAAATTATTTGCCTTAATCTGAATTTAAGACTATACTATGGTTAAGGTGTTAACATGAGTTGCTTTTTGAATGTCCCATTCATGATTCTGTTTTACATGTTATAGTACATAAGTTGATAAACATCATTGCGTCACCATGCTATCCACATTCCTCCAGAGTTTCATGTAATTTTGGGTGTTTCATTTTTAATTTGTTGACTTAACTGCAGTTTGGCACTTTTACTTTTTTTCGGGAACATTTTATGCATGCTCCATGTAACAAACTAAATATGGATGGGACTATAAACTGCTGGAGGAGTAGTTTTAATGGAATTTGATACCGCACACCGAATAGGAGAAAAAACCTCCACATTTCACGATGCAGGTGTCTGTGGTCCTTAACTGACTGGGTAGGTGCAGAGAATAGTGTTAAACAATGTGTGTATAAAACAGGACAAAAAGTCCTACATGTCGGTAATAATTTGATTAGGTTGTTTACATGCCTGTACTGAACTTCTGATTAGTTGGATTATGACCTTAAATGGTTTGAATTAACTAAAAATGGCTATTTACATGGTAGACCTTTAATCCATGTAATCATACTCATTGTCGCTTCCTTTTAATGATATGTATATAATGAAGTTCCAGCAAGTGAACTTAAAAACCAGTTTACCTTTTTTTCCTCCATAATAAATGCATTCTGCCTCAACTCAGTATACTAGCACAAAGCAACCAGGCTCTTTGGTGTAACTTGAGTGGGAATTAAAATGTTGTATTTGGTGTGGTAGGGACTTTGACACCAGATAACATTTTTTTCACAGTTTCTTTAAAATACACTTTTTTTTGTTGGAACATTTTTAGCCTTATGAATGCAATTTTGGGGAACACAAGGAACTTTTTCACATATCCTAGAACTATTAATTAGTAATACACTTTTTTTGTAGGAAATTTTGTTGCCTTATGATTGCAATTTGGGGTGGTGCAGTGTGTAGCACTGTCCCCTCACAGCAAGAAAGTTGCTGGTTCAAGCCTCAGCTTGGTCAGTTGGCATTTCTGTGTGGGGTTAGCATTCCCCCCCCTTGGTTGGCGTGGGTTTCCTCCGGGTGCTCTGGTTTCCCCCACAAGTCTTGCATGTACCATAAGTGAATTGGGCAAGCTAAATTGTCCGTAGTGTATGTGTGTGAATGAGGGTTTTCCTAGCGTTGGGTTGCAGCTGGAGGGACATCCGCTGCGTAAAACATATATTGGATAAGTTGGCGATTCATTCCGCTGTGGCGACCCTTCATTAATAAAGGGACTAAGCTGTAAAAGAAAATGAATGAATGATCGGAAATTGTACTGTTTCGATTATGGCATCCTCCAGTTGTTGAATATGTTGTACGCTGTACTTGATGTTGCTGTCAACTGCCTTGCGTCACTTTGTATCCTTTGATGGTGTCAGTGCAACCAGGAAAATGCTCTGGGAAAAATAGTTCTTTGGGAACTGCCTGACAACTTGTAGCTGACCACTGCAAAAGCCCCTATTCCTATATGTACATTCCCCAAGGGAAACTTAGGACTACATCTAAGCATTTAAGGGAGAAATGCTGCTTACTGATATAGAGAATATTCCCTATTAAGTGGACTTTGTACTTTTGTCACTGCAGATCTTTTTCATGTTCAAACAACTACATTACTCACCAAAGAAAGTTGAAAATGCAAAAAGCATAATAGGGTCCCTTTTAATATTAGAAAGTCATAAGCTCTTCTTTTGTAATTCGTCCTGCTTTTTCTTCCCGCTTTCATGCTGAAACCCCTTGGTACCCCCAAGACCGAGCTCCAACTACCAAGCATCCGGCTGTCAGAAAGAAGAAAAAAAAAGTCAACCACCCATTTCCCATGATTCCTTCTCACACATGTACTCACTGAAATGGATTTGACCTTGTGTTGTTCAAACCATTATTTATAACCCTGTGTTCATAACATTAGATCGATCAACTGAATTCTCTTAAGTTTTTTTTTCTCTCTTTTTTAAAATTTTTTTTTACGCTTTTATCCTTCATGGAGGTGCCTGTTTTTTTAACACAGCAGGACGTAAAGCAGTGCTGATAGTCTCTCTTATGCTCTTCCTTCTTTTTTCTGATTGCAGGACTCTACTATGTGGATTCAGAGGGCAACCGTGTATGCGGAGACCTGTTCGCTGTTGGTTCGGGTTCCATGTATGCTTACGGCGTCGTCGACAGCGGCCTTCGATACGACTTGACCATAGATGAGGCTTGTGACCTGGGCCGTCGTGCCATATACCAAGCTACTTACCGTGACGCCTACAGTGGAGGCCAAGTCAACCTCTACCGCGTCCACAGCGAGGGCTGGGAAAGAGTCTCACAGGAAGACGTGCTTCAGTTGCACCAAAAATACCAGAGTGAGAAAGCTTAGAGCGAAGGGTAGAGGAGATGAGGGAAGAGCCCACAGCAGTTGAGTTTCAAAAGAAAGGGTAAGACCAGTCAGATGAGGAATGAATAGCAGATTATTGATATGACCTGAAAGGCACTTGAGTTAATCAAATCCGCTTCTATGTAAGTGTTTTGTAAGAGCAGGCTCTTCTGCATATGAGAACACGAGCAAAGCTGTCTCTCTTCTTCTCAAAGTTATTTCCGTTATTTTTCTCACCCATGTTATTTGTTGAGTTTTCATCCACAGTTTCAGTAGTATTACAACCCTAGCCGGTCTAATTGCAATTGTTGTTTATGATAATAAAATAAGGGGGGGTGCTGTCTCCCAATGGACACTAACGACAAGCCAAAACTCTAGTAGTTGGCCGACTCTCACTGAGTGGGAGTGGGCTTCTGTTCTTCTCTTCTCACATGTATCTGCTGTTTCCACAGTTACTAAACCTACTCTCAATAAAACCTTGGATTTTTTTTTTGCTATTTAAGTGTTTGTTTTTTTTTTCAGGATCCTGATGCATCGGTTGGTATGTGTTTTGACGGGTATTCAAAAGTCGTATTTGGAAACTCAAGTCACGCATAAGATATGAAGGTCGTTGCACTAAATAGAAAATTATCAAACCAGCTGTATATGGAAAGTGGCGATTAAATAATGAAACTACTTTTCCCTGGACTACACATTACTTTCAGACAACTTTGCCAATGTTATTTTTAGTTTGGACTACAGGATTAGTGCAGTCTTATTTTTTTTGTAAATCTTATATTTGTATATTGCTCTGGGTCAGTTTCATACTGATATCAGAAATAATGTGCTTTTGTATAAAGAAAAAAGCTTTTAAAAATGTGTTAAACATACATACATTTTACAAACATTTTTGATTTTTTTTTATGTCAAAGTGTTGTAGTTTAAAGGGACAGATCACCCAAAAATGAAAATGCACTCACTAGCTATGTTTCCATCCAAAATGCAAATTAAATGTATGTGCAAAATTGGAATATTGCATAAAAGATTCCATCCAATGATTCAAAGAGAACAAAATTGTCACTTCCTGATTAACTCGCACCAAATATCAATAGTAAAAACGGAATTTCGTGCGATGGGAGAAGCTGTATGAATCTTTTACTTATTTAATAAATGACTTGCACCTCAGAAGACAGTATGCCAACACGCAATGAACGCGTTTTGGCATTGGAAGGCATGAGAGCACAGATGCTCTTGACAGTTCTGGAGGTAATTAATAATATAATAACACTAATACTGAAATTGTTAGGGCATTTTAGAATGACCAAAACAACATTTCAGATGTTTTACAATGTGCTCAGACTTTTGGTTTGTCCATTCACACAGATTTGTATTATAATTTAAAAAATAATCTCATGTCTTTTTTTATGCACTTAGTGGAATTTGTTCTGTAAAAGTGTTTCCATCATAGTTTATGCACATTTTATTGTCGAATAACACGTTTTTCCTACTCCTATGTTTGTTTTTATGCACATTTTCAAAATTTATGCGCATCTCGGCATTTTCATCAACCTTTTTATTTGTTTTGTTTATTTTTTTGTGTGTGTGTTTTTTTTTCTTTTTTTTTTCTTTTTTATGCTTTTATCCAAAATGCACATAAAAAGGTGGATGGAAGCGTAGCTACTGTTCTCTAGGGCTGGATATTGTTTGGCTTTATTTCAATATCTGTGTTAAATCGATACTTTTAAAAATGGTACTAATGTCGGCGCTAGTGGTGTAGTGGTTACTGCATCGAAACATGCACTCCGGTGCTCATGGCGACCCGTGTTCGATTTCTGCCTCGCGGCCCTATTCCAATCCTTCCCCTCTCTCTGCTCCCCATGCTTTCCTGTCAATGCTCTCTATTTTCCTATCCAATAAAGGTAAAAACTTTTTAAAAAAATTATAAAATAAATAATAGAATAGTACCGGTGCCTGAACCAACACTTTTGAGCCACAAAATTATGGTTGATGACACTAGAATATTTTAATAATTTTAATTGAACAATGTAATTAAAGTTTAAAGTATACAACAATTGATATTTTATATATTTGAATTGAATTGCATTAATGTACTTTTTTGTTTGTTAGCATGAATTTAAGATTTGTCTTATGGAGTTAACATTACATTAGCTTACTAATGACCTGTGGAAAGGCTGTCATCAAAATCAGGGAACACCTTTTTTCTAAGGTTGGGGCTTTTGACTGTTTACACGGACATCAGTTGTTGAATTATTAGTCTTAATCTTAATAAGACAATAATATGATTAAGGTGTTTACGTGACTCTTTTTGAATGTTTCTTTCATGAGCTCGTTTTACAGGTAATAGCACATAATACGATTACCATCATTGCGTCATCATGCTATCCACATTTCTTCCGTAGTTTCATGTATTCAGATGTCATTTTTAGTTTTTTTGACTTTAACTGCAGTTTGGCACTTTCACTTTTGTTTAGCAACATGCCCCTTGACAAACAGATATTTGATGAGAATATAAAGTAAGGACTGGTGGCAGAGTGTTATTTTAATGGAGTAAAGCCTCCTTTCCATTGCTTATGACCTTTGGACACAACTATTGGAATTCACCCCCTTGTGGCATTCACACAGAATTTTCAGTGTTGTCATACATGCACCATGGAAGACAAGCTGATTCTTGTGGTGTCCGAAATAAAGTGCAAAAGGGCCTTTATTCTTTGTGCGTTCACCATCGTTAAATGAATGAATGAATGCATGAATACTAGAAACCCATAGACTGTTAAAAAATTTGGAGCGAATGTAGAGACGACATAAAAAAATTATATTTTTTAATTACTCATTAATGAATAGAAATGTTTTTTTAATATAGACTATTTTCTGATTCAAAACAAATAATGAAAACAATATCCCATTTCTCATGAATGACTTCCCGTCTGTCGCTTGACGTTTGTCGTGTGCAGTGGAAAGGCAGCTTGATAGTTTAGAATGCCTAGTTTAAGCAAATTTGACGAACACAATCGTGTGTTGATGATTCTGAAGGGAGTCGCTTACAGAATGCGATGTGTGCTGTGTTTGTTTCCTACATGTGTGTGTTACCTAAGCAACAAGAACAAATGCCTATCATCAGCGTCTGTTCGTATCCCTCAAAGTAGTTTAAAAGTAACATTTAGAGATGCTGTGACAGCGCGTACCTATGTGTGCCTCTTGCGTTGTTGTCGCAGCACTAGTGGCCCTAAAATTAGGCACTGAAATTTATATGCTGATTAGGTTTGGTGCATACCGGTTACATAGGTATGGCACTGGGTTTCGGTACCCAACCCTACTGTTTACTCTCCATCAGGAGTGTTTTTTATTTTGTCAAACTCTAAAGAGAAATTTACTCTGAAAGTGGAACACAAAAACTTTGTAGGTGACATTTAGGTGTCTTTATACACTTCACAGAGGGGTATGATTGAATTTACTCAGCATGCATGCTATATTATAAACTATTTTAATGCTGCAATGGTTGTGAGCAGGCATAATTTAGCCTGATTTTATAGACCATTGCATCTTTACACAGAAATTTGGGCATGCATTAAGCAGCTTGGCTGTGTAAACTGCCTATAATCAATTCTAATTGTACTGTCAAAATAAGTATCACTATAGAGACTAGGGAGGCCTTTTAATACTGTTCTGGTCAATACGACTCCCGAAAAGGGTCTCACTTTAAAATCTAAACTTCTTTTAGACAGAAGAAAACAAATTGGTGCTATTTTTCATTCAAATTATTGCTTGATTTGATATTTTATCTCTTTATGGCTGTAATTTAAATCGTGATTAATTATACACGAAAATATGCTGTCGAAAATTAACGCAATTAATCATGCCCTCTGACCCATAGTTAAATTCCTTAAGGCATTTTTCTATTTTTGGAGCAGCTGAAGCTTGAAATACCACCATCATGTTTTTGCCACAATAATGTCATGTCTTGTATTTCTCAATATTTTGTGTGAAAAATCCTCAAGATAAGTAGTTGATGTTTATATATATATATATATATATATATATATATATATATATATATATATATATATATATATATATATATATATATAATATATATATATAATATATATAAGATTTGCCATGATAACGGTACATAATATTTTACTAGATGCTTTTCAAGATACTAGTATTTAGCTTAAAGTGCAATTTTAAGCCATAACTAGGTTAATTAGGGTAATTAGACAAATCATTGTTTTGTAGACAATCAAAAAAAATTGCTTAAGGGGGCTAATAATATTGACCTTAAAATGTTTCAAAAAAATAGAAACTGCTTTTATTTTAGCTAAATAAAGCAAATAAGACTTTCTCCAGACGAAAAATTATAAGAAATGCTTTTGATAAATTCCTTGCTCTGGTAAACATTTGGGAAATATTTGATTGAGAAAAAAAAAATCAAGGAGGGCTTATAATTTTGACTTGAACTGCATACAAAGTTTTAGAAAATAATACAATGTAAATATCAATACTTCTATTTTTAAATGGCCGCCAGTGGCATTTATCTGCTTTTGCGCCATTTTTTCCAGGATGTGTTTCTAGGTGAACCCTTTTAATGCACGCTCAGAAAGCTTTTTAAAAAACACCATTGTCCGTAATAGAATTCTTTTCGCCATCTTGCCCATTTGTCCCCATCAGCACAGCAACTGAATATTTTCGTCTTCCCTTTTTGCCCCGAGGCTCTGAATTAAGTGTCTTACTTTTTCCCTTCCTCTTGCCATTAGTGCTTCGTAAAACTATTTTAGAGATGCAAATAGTGCATTGTGTCTGTGTCCGTATCGGTCTTGTCTTGTGGGCTATTAGTGCTTGCGCTTGCCGAAATGAAGTAAACAATCATCAACACCTTAAGCTGACAAGGAAAATACTGATAGTATTTTGTGCTGTTTTGCAATCGTCTTCAGGCTTTGGGGTCTATGAACTCAGCCCTTGTTTTTTTTTGTTTGCTTTTTAATTAGAGGGAAAATTTATTTCTGGTTTTCATTTCAGCACGGCTACTTTCTCAACACCAAATGTGCTCCATCACGTTGTTTTACAATGCAAGGTTTAGCCGCAGCCCCCCCTCAGCAGTTTTATAGCTGAAAATAAACACTAATAAAGGCTATGGGACGATGCGGTGGCCCTGAGCCCCAATGATTGTTAAAAACTAGTTTCACAGGTGGCTAGTTAGCAGATGGAAAGCAAATGGGATTTCAATAAATGTAAATGGGAGCTCTTCTCCATTACTTTGCTTGGCTAAAATGAAGAGATGAGAGAGTTGCTTACAACGCGGCTACAAATCACATTTGCTAATCATGTTTATCAAGTAATTTAGCTGCAAAACATCTGCAGCATCAAACATGTATTTGTTTGGAGTGGCGAAATGTTGGCCAGGTCACTCTTGAAAGCACTTTGAATACTCATCAACTATTTACCTTAATTACCTTTAATGGTTAGCTTTTAGGAAATGCAAATGGGACATATTATAGG